CACCTCAGCGACACCCCTGCACCCTCGGCGGGGCCGGGAGGGACCGGAGCATCCCACCCGTGGGAAACACCCGACTGGGGGGAAGGGCCCAGCGCCCCACTGAGAGAAACACCCAGCGAAGCCCCTGGAAGCCACCCGTGGAACCCGGCTGGTCGCAGCGTGGTTTAACCCTACCAGAGGCTTTGCGGATGGCCCCGGCTCAGCGTTGAGATGTCACCATCCCAAAGAGCCCCCCGGGCCGGGCTGGGGTTGTCCCCAAGTTGGGGCCCTGCTGCTTTCTCTGTTTTCACACACACCCCCCAGCCCCCAGCCCCGTGCCAGGAGCAGCCTCTGCCCCCGCAGCAAAGGCGAGGGGGTGGCTGCCAGCACCGTCCCCGTGCCCAGCGGTGGCCAGGGCCACGGGCAGAGCAGGGCCAGGGCTCCGAGTGCCCGTGTCACCTGCAGAAGGGACAAGCTGGCAGCCACAAGCTGCCCCGGGGCAGCGAGCAGGGTGGGGCTGGCAAGGGTGAAAGCCCCCCCCCAGGGAGGCTCCTGGCAATCCCTCCTGCTGTGGCTGGTGTGTCTCAACCCCTGCTAATGATTTTTCCAGCGGGCAAAAGCTCTGCAGGATTTGCTGGTTTGTTTTTTTCTTTTTTTTTTTTTTTTTTGCTGTTGTGGTGGCTTGGGTTGGTTTTTTGGTTTTTGGTTTGGTTTTTTTTTGTGTGTGTGTGTGTGTTGGGTTTGTTGTTTTTTTTTTTTGGTTTTTTTTTTTTTTTTTTTCAAGAGGGATTAAGCCAAATTAGTTTTTATCTGTTTCTGCAGTTTTCCGCTGGGATTCAGTGAAGCACCAGTGCCTGAGAACAGAAAAACGATAAACATCTAAACGCAGACACTTTGAGTACTGTTTTATCTCTGCCATTTGAAGTGATGACACCCTTCAACCAGATAAACAAAGCAACGAGGAGGGGCATGTTGTTAGATGGAGTGTGTAACGAACAGAATACTCCCTGCCACATTACAGACAATGGTAATGCACAATCATTCATTATAACTCAATTACAGTAATTAAAACTGGTGGGATGCAGAGGCAGAACAGACGAAGGGAGTAGTGCCAACAGAATTTACACTCCGTGTCATCAGCTAGCGATAACAACAGCTGATGGTGTCCCAGAGCCTCCTCCCGCCATCTGCTCCCAGAGCCGGCGACGAGGGGTGGCACGAGGTGCGGCAGCAGCCGGGCGGGTGGCGGGGGGAGACGGGGTGGGAAGGGGCGCTGGGCCCTCCCCGGCACAGCACCCAGCCCCGCCGCTGCCCTGGGTGCTGTGCGGCGGGGAGGGGCTGCCCCTCGCACCCCGGAGGGCGAGCCGGCCCCTCGGCACTGGGTGCAGGGCGCGGGGAAATGAAGGGGGAAATGAAGATGGCATGGCACGGCATGGCACGGCACGGCATGGCATGGTGTGGTGTGGTGTGGCATGGCGTGGCGTGGCGTGATGTGGCATGGCATGGCACGGCATAGCATGGTATGGCATGGCATGGCGTGGCACTGTATGGCGTGGCATGGCATGGTGTGGCACGGCATGGCATGGCATGGCATGGCGTGGCATGGCATGATGTGGCATGGTGTGGCACGGCATAGCATGGTATGGCATGGCGTGGCGTGGCACTGTATGGTGTGGCATGACATGGTGTGGCACGGCATGGTGTGGCATGGCATGGCAAGGCACGGCATGGCAAGGCACGGCATGGCATAGCATAGTGTGGAGTGGCATGGCATGGCAAGGCACAGCACGGCATAGCGTGGCATGGCATGGCACGGCACAGCACAGTATGGCATGGCACGGCACAGCACGGCATAGCATGGCATGGCATGGCACGGCATGGCACGGCACAGCACAGTATGGCATGGCACGGCATGGCTTAACATGGCACAGCACGGCACATCATGGCATGGCTTAGCGTGGCATTGCGCAGCATAACATGGCATGGCTATGGTTTAGCACGGCACAGCCTGGCACGGCACGGCACAGCTCTGCTACCCCTGCAGCACTGCCCGGTGCTGCCATTTCGGGACACGACCCCGAGCATGGCCAAAGCTGCCCGGCCTGCTCAGCTCCCCGGGGCGGCTGCTCCCGGGGGTCACCGTCCCCCTTCTCCGCCTGCTCGGGGCGGGGGACACACGTGCACCCCACGGGCTGCGCAGGACCCCCGAGGCAGCTCTGCCAAAGCCTGGGGGGGGGGGGGTGGGGGGTGGGGGTGACCAGCACAGCAGCACCCCGAGCACCCCCCCTGCTCCCCAACCACTTCGGTCGGTTCTTTATTTCCCAGCAAGTTCCTGACCTCCGCCTCAGCGCCAGGACCTGCACGCTCAAATTTAATAATTCGGGGTTACTCAAAGCACAATTTGGGCTGGCTGCCACCCCCGGGGAGCTGGGCAGGGGAGGGTGAGCGGTGCCCAGCCCCGGGGGGGGCTGCACCCACCCGCTGCACCCTCCCGGTGCAACCTCCATCCTTGCCCGCGTGGGCTCCGGGACCGGCACCGCTGTGGGGACCCAGCCGGGGTGCACCCAAAAAAGGGGGTGACAAGGCAGATGGGATGCCCAGCAGCAGACAGCATCATCCTGCACGCCTCCGTGGGAGCCCTCCCTCTGCGGGAGCGCGATGCTCGTGGGAGGGAATCACTAACGAAAAGCGGGTAACGCGGCCCAAAAGGCGCCGTTTGCCGGGGACACTGGTCGGGGTGAATCCTGGTGTCCTGCTGCAGCTCCCACCCAATTTTCCAGCCCTGGTGTGTCACAGCAGCATCAGCCGAGGCTGAACTAAAAGCATGTTAAAAAAAAAGCCTTTATAAATATATAATTTAAAAAAATTAGTGTGTGGGGCTTGGAATATTTTAATTATAAAGTACGGGAGTTCGGCGCCTGGCTGATAGCGTAAATGGGAACCGGCGAGGCTGCGCGCAGCTTTAACACCTCCTCCGTCAGCACTTTCGGAAAGGTCGTAGTCAAACCAAATTAATTGCAAAGGGCAACAGTTTGCTGGGAACTGTTGAAAGCAGAAGCCGCAGCAGATCGGGTGCTCGAAGGGGCAGCGCCGGGGAGCTGCCGGGCCCCGCCGAACCCTCCTACCCCCTTGCGCCAGGCTCTCCGAAATCTTACAACAAAGGATCTCTTGCAATTTTTATCTTTTAATGGTCCCCCGTGTAAGCCCTCGTTCCATCCAGCTTAAAATCAGATTTAAATGCACTCATAACCATTTACCACTGTACATTATCGGGAAACCAAGCAGTTAGAGTGCTGCTCCTGCTTTTTATTTCTCCCTCGCAGCAGGCTCTGTCATGTTCAATCCATCACGGGGAAGCCCCCGTAGGCCGGTACATATGTCCTAGTTCAAGGAAAGTGCTTTGTCTCTGTCAGGGGCACCCGGGCCGAGCGCTCAGGAATGTGGGTGCTCGCGTCTCGTGGTTTCGGAGCCCCCCCGACCCCGTCCTCGAGCCCCGGCCAGCACCCCGAGGGTTGGCACCCTGCCTCAGCATCCCCCCCCCCCCCCCCCCCGTCCAACCCGGGGTGCGGGGTCCCTGCTCCCGGCCCTTTCTCAGCATCCCCAAGCCCTCGCCGCGGGCTCGCAGCAGCAGAAACAAAGCAGCTGGGTGATGCCTTCAGGAAGGGAAGGAAAAAAATAAATTGGGGGGGGGCCAGGGTGCCCGTGGGGTCACTCGCCCCCGGGGAGGGGGGATGTCTGGGGAGGAAGAAGTGCGTCCCGCAGCGTGTCCAGGGTGGGAGGGCATGGCCAGCCCCACGGCACAACCATGGGAAGGGGGAGAAATGGGGGGCTGGGGGCTGCTCAACCTCCAGCCGAGCTCTGCCAACAGCCCCGGGGGTACAGCGGTCCCTGGGTGAGGGGGGGACCCAGGCCCCCCGCCCCCACGCTTGCTTTGCTTGTGGTTATTAACAACTCATGGCAGGTTTTCAGAGATCAAATGGTTTATAGACTGCGTTCATTTGAGCTTCATTACATTTACTTTTTATTCTTTTTTCTTTTTTTTTTTTTTTTTTCTCCCTTTTTTACAAAAAACCAGTTGGAGTTATTAACAGCTGTACATATTCTGCTACATACTTTGGTGTAAAGTTGAGAAGTCTGACTCAGTAACCCTCCGCCAGCTCCAGTACATGCAGTTCCTTTATTTTTTTTTTTTTTTTTTTTTTTTTTTTGAGGAAAACGAAGCACCGACTTGCAAACCAGTGACCATAGGGGGGGAACAGGAGCTGGGGGTGCCCTTACTGCTGGAGGACTTTGCCGGGGGGGGGGGGGGAGTGGTTCAAAGCCCCCCCAGGCCCTTTCCAACACCCCCCTCCATCAATTCAAAGAGGGGGGGATGCTCCCAACGCCCCGGAGTCGGAGGCTGCGCCCCCAGGGGGGGACGGGCAGAGCTGCCCCCGCACAGATGCGAGTGTGAGCCCCAAAACACACACGGGGCATCGCTGAACCCCTCAGCGGGAACCAGCGCGGGTCCGTTGGCACGGGGGGGAGGGGATGGGGGCATTTTCAGAGCCATTTTTCTGAGCCAAACCACCCTCAGAACCGCGTTTTCCCCTGCGCTGGGTAATTAGTGCACAAGCTGGATCCCTCCTCCTCCCCAGCAGCTTCCAGTGAGCACTAAGGAGCAGACACCGAGTGCCTAGGACATTCCCCTCAGTTTTCTTTTGAACAGAAAAGGGCAAAAATCTCAAAACCCTCTTATTTTGATGGGGGAAAAAAAAAACAAAACAAAACAAAACAAAACAAAAACACAACAAAACCACCAAACAATCGTTTCCCAGGAGATCTTCCAAGCCCAACTCGTCGCGCTCAGGACGCGACGCCAACCACGAGCCCTGGAACAGCCGGGCACCGTCCGCTTCATCCTCCTCCTCTCCCCCGTCTGCACGATCCACGGCTGTAAACCAGGCAGTTCTCACCCGACCCCTAAGCATTATTATTTTTGACCAGATTAAAATCAAAAATTAAAAAATAATCCATAAAAATGTAGTATAAAAATTCTCTTCCATATGCTACAATACAGGGTGAGCGCTTCTGCTACACAAATACTTTTATTTCCCGTTATGCTTTTTTTTTTTTTTTTTTTTTTTTTTTTTTGTTACGTTTTGTTTTACCCTTTAGTACAAAATGCTGAAACGCAGGCCTGTGCGGGGAGGGGGTTTGCTTCATCGGAACCTATATACCAGAAGACACAAGACCAAATAGCCCACAGGACCCTACCAAAGCCAGCCCCTTCCCCCCACCACACACAAACCCTACTTGTTAGTAAACTTTGCTTTTAAAAAAACTGTATTTTAAAGGTTATCAATTCTAATTCTTTACTTTCATTTGAATACAAAACACATAAGTTGCTATTATCTTTCGTGGCTCCCTGAGCTGAATTTACTATGCTTTCTTTGAAATCACTCCTCATTGCTTCTGTCCGAAGACCAAGAAGGGCTTGCGCAGACGATCCCGCAGCGTGGGCTTCCCCTTTTCTTCAAACATACGAGCACAAAAAAAAAAAAAAAAAAAAAATCCATATATAAAAAAAGGTGATTGTGTTGCTGATGTCCCGTCAGTAGCTGAGGATCCGAGCGAGTCCCCCGCGGTCCCAGCAGCGTCCCACCATCACTAACACACCGAACAACGCACGGGTACGACAGTAGGAACAACTTTCACCAGTGGACACCTTTGCTCAGCCTGGTTACGCGCTGCACGGCAAAGTCACGTCCCGACGGACGCTTCGGGGAGGGGGGTAAGGAAAAAAAAAACAAAAAACAAAACAAAACAAAACGAAAAAAAAAAAAAAAATTGCCACCACCAAAACCATCAGTGGAATACAATTACAGCAGACGAAAAATACACAACTAGTGTACCGGGAGGGGTCCCCCACCCTTCCAATGCTATTTACTAGTCCGTTATTTACATTTTTCACAAGTCTTATGCAGGATGCACAAAAAAAAAAAAAAAAAAAAAAAAAGTCACAATAAAAAATAAGTCCTTTATAGTGCCACCAAAGCGCAGACGGAAAGAACCAGAAAACCAAAAAAAAAAAAAAAAAAAAAAAATCCAAAATGAAACCCAAAACCCTAAAACCAACCAAAAATTCGTTTAGGGCTTCAACGTGTGCCATATTTGCAGACCTCCAAATAAATCCGTGTGTATTGTACGCCGGGCCCTCGAGGCAGAGCCCCGGCAGAGCGTGCCGGTCCGTGGCCGGGCCCCGGGGGCCGCCCCGCAGCAGCCCCCCCCGAGCCCCCGGCTGCTCCCCGCCGGCCGCCCGAGTCCTGCCACCGCCGGGGCTGGCACTCGCCAGCCCTGCTATAAAAATCCGCCGTTAGTAGATGACCTCGTAGACTGTGGCCTTCTTGTCACCAGAGCCCGTGACAATGTACTTGTCATCCACTGAAATGTCACAACTTAAGACGGACGAGGATTCCTTGGACTGGAAAAAGGAAGGGGGACACACACACACACACACAAAAAAAAAAAAAAAAAAAGAAAACCCATCAGTTTGGTTTCCACAATGCGTTTCACCGAGCAGCATCACCCGTACCGATCCAGGCACCCCAAAAGGATTTTCCCTCCCCTCTCCCGCCCAGGATGATGCCGAGGGGGGGGTCCAGGCGCTGCCCACCCCCGTGCCCTCCCCCGAGAAGCAGCCCTCCTACCTGGAAGATGCTCGCTCCGTAGGGCGTCCTCCAGGCGTTGAGCAGGTTGTCTTTTCCAGTACTCACAAACCATTTACCTACGCCCCCCGGGGAAACACAGCGTCAGCACCCCCAAAACCTGCTGCCGACCCCCCCCACCCCCCCACCCTGCGGCACCGAAGCCACCAGCCAGGCCCCACGGCCAGCTTCTCCCTACCCCCGGAGACTTCTGGCTGTTTGCCCTCGGAAACGGGGAGAACTTGGGGAGATTTTCCAGGTGGGACGCGCTGGTTCACCTCCCGCGCGGCCACGTGGCAATTTGCCACCACGGCCGGGACGCGTTTTACGGGGATAAATCCCAACGGGATGGATCCTTGGCCCCCACCCTGCACCGGGCATCGTCCCCCCCATCCTCGTGCATGTCCCCACGTGTCACCGAAGGGGCCCGGGGAGCTGAAGTTTTGGGTGGGAGCCGCTTACCGCAGTAGGCGAACTTGAGGGAGAGGACGCAGCTCTCGTGGAGGTGCAGCTGGTACTTGTCGGGCTTCGTGTGGTGCAGCACTTCCACGTTGCTGCTCTCCATGCCCACCGCCAGCCACTCGCCCGTCGGGCAGTACCCCAGCGAGAAGATCTGGGGGGGGACACACACACACACATACACACACCCACACAGAGAACGGGGTGGCTCAGGGCAGGTCCCAGCCACCTCTGTGTCCCCCAAAAACTCCCCATCGCCCGGGCACGAGCCCAGCTGGGGGTCACCCCCCTTGGTGATTTGGGTATCGGGATGGCTTTGCCCGCGGCGCTGGCAGCAGAGCCAGAAATTCAGAAGAGAAACAACCCGAGATGAGGGGAAGGACACAGCCTGGTCCCCTTCAATCGCCCAGAGACCCCAGGCGCTGAAATGGGAGCACAGCAAAGCCGGGAGCTGGCGGGTACCCCTGAAGCACAACCCCAGCTCTTGCCCTGGCCGAGGGCAAGAAATGCAGCCTCTTCCAGGGACAGCACTTGTTTTTGGACAGAAAATACCTTCCTGGCATCCCCCAGAAGAGGAAAGCTCAGCGTGGAAGGCAACGAGACTAAATAAGCAATAAGCTGAGGCTGCTCGTGGGCTGGAAACCGCGGCGGCATGGGTTGCTCCACGCTGGCGAGCGTTGCCGCGGTGGAAAGTCCCCGGTGGCAGCGCCGTGGGGTCACCAGCTGGGACCTCGGCCACGCTGCTGCCCCTTCTGGCCCCTGATCACACGAGCCCAGTGCCACCGGGCGGGTGGCACGGGGAGGGGGGGGGAGGCTTGCGGGCCAGCCCCGGACGAGGCGCTGCCTCCGTGCGCTCGGAGCAGCCGCACCAGACCTGCGAACGCCGAGGAAGGGCTCCAGCCCCCCGGAGGACGCTCCTCCTCCACGCCAATTCCCAGCTTTGCCCCTCTGGATAACGGCTCTGGGAGGGGAGGGTTTGGCAGGGTGGGAAGCTGGTGCCTGAGCTCTGCAGCCATCCCGCCCGCGGGACACCCAGAGCCAGGCTGTACCGCCCATGGGCATCCCTAGGCAAGCCCCGCTTTCTTAACATCAGCCTGGTCTCGCAGCGGATGAAAAACCGATGGAAAAGGAGCTGAAACAAGAGCCACGGAGCCCCACAGCTCCGACGGCCTTGCACACCCTTGGGTTACACCTAAACCAGCAGGGACAGCCACGCATTGGCCTGTGCCAGCCGTTTTCCCCAGCGGGAAAAGCCCCCTCCCACAGCCACGCGTGAGCCCCCGTTTCCACGGAGGGCTAAACCCCCTGGCGCGGGGTCTCCACGAGGAGCTGCACAAGGAGGCGAAGGACGTTCCTCCCCGTCCCGGGGCCGAGGCCACCCCGCGCTCACCTGGGAGGTGAAGTCGTGCTGCTGGAGCTGCCTCCCTTCCCGCAGGTCCCAGGAGCGCACCGTGTTGTCCAGACCCCCCGTCCACAACTTCGTACCGTCGTGCGAGATATCTATGCAGCTGGCACCGTCCGTGTGGCCTTGGAATTGCCTTTGAACGCCAAAAAAAAAAAAAAATAAATGAACGCAAACCTTCAATAGCCAAAGAAAAAAAAACCAAGCGGGGCTGCTTCAAGGGAGCCGCTGCTCAGGCCACGTTTACGAGGCTTCCCAGCACCAAGCACACCTGGAAATCTCTCCAGGGAGCATCCCTTGCTGAGGTGCAGTGGCCAGGCCGAGCCTGCTGGGCTCACCCACAGCCAAAGCATCATGAGATAGCCCTCTGGCCGCCGTCCCCACTCCAAACCGTGGCCAGAAAGACCCCGATTGTGGAGGAGAGCAACCCCACGGGCCAGCTCACCTGACGAGCGTCTGGTTGTGCAGGTCCCAGACGGCGATGTTGCCGTCGCTGCAGCAGGAGAAGCAGACTTTGGCGTCGGGGCTGATGGCCAGGGCGTAGCAGGCGGGGGCGGAGGAGGTCAGCTCGGCCTTGATGCGGGGCGTGGGGGAAGCCAGGTCCCAGATGGTGAGCGTGCTCGCCTCCCCTCCCACGATCAGCGTGCGGCCGTCGGGGAGGAGTTTGCAGGAGCGGATGTAGTTATCTCTGTTCTGGAGGGGGAAAGAGATGTTAGAAGGGGAGGGAAGAGATGTTAGAAGTGGGGGGAAAGAGATGTTAGAGGCGGGGGAAAGAGATGTTAGAAGGAGGGGAAAGAGATGTTAGAAGGAAGGGAGAAAGAGATCTTAGAAGCAGGGGGAAAGAGATGTTAGAAGTGGGGGAAGGGGAGGGGAAAGAGATGTTAGAAGTGGGGGGAAAGAGATCTTAGAAGTGGGGGAAAGAGATCTTAGAAGCGGGGGAAAGAGATCTTAGAAGCGGGGGGGAAAGAGATGTTAGAAGTGGGGGGAAAGAGATGTTAGAAGAGGGGTAAGAGCTCTTAGAAGGAGGAGGAAAGAGAAGGGGGGAAAGAGATGTCAGAAGGGGGAGAAAGAGATGTTAGAAGGGAGGGAGAAAGAGATCTTAGAAGGAGGAGGAAAGAGAAGGGGGGAAAGAGATGTTAGAAGGGGGGAAAGAGATGTTAGAAGAAGGGGAAAGAGATGTTAGAAGAAGGGGAAAGAGATGTTAGAAGGGGAGGAAAGAGAAGGGGGGAAAGAGATGTTAGAAGGGGGGTAAGAGCTCTTAGAAGGAGGAGGAAAGAGAAGGGGGGGAAAGAGATGTCAGAAGCGGGGGAAAGAGATGTTAGAAGGGAGGGAGAAAGAGATCTTAGAAGGAGGAGGAAAGAGAAGGGGGGAAAGAGATGTTAGAGGAGGGGGAAAGAGAAGGGGGAAAGAGATGTTAGAAGTGGAGGGAAAGAGATTTTAGAAGGGAGGGGGAAGAGATGTTAGAAGGGGGGGAGAAAGAGATCTTA